GCCCCCAGGCTGGGATTTGCCCAGGGAATGGCGTTAAGTGTACAGCTGTTAAAGTGACTTCCTCCAAAAGCATCTCACTCAGCCAAGTTTGTTATCTGTAGATAAAGATTTTCAAGGCCAAGCACTTCTGGAAGGCTCTCCATCCAACAAAATCTCTGTCCAGCTGCCGTCTTATGTTTGAAATTCCTTTAGTGGGGGAACCAAAGCTTGACAAGGTCAGATAAGTAGTAGAAGATAAATGGCCCTGGGGAGGAGGACAGGGTTAATCAGCAGATTCTCACCAAAAGCAAGTGTTGAGTGAAGAATGACTTAAAAAAAAATGTTCTGAGCAGCTTCCTTGTCCTTCTGAGTGAGAAGAGGTGATGTTTAGCACCTTTTGAAAATTATTTGTATTGTGATGAGACAAACACCACTAGCCCGACAATGGACCCTGCAGTGGTGGAAACAATTCTAGCCCGTAACCCCAGCCGAAAAGTGCTCGGAGAAGGCCTGCGCTAGACCTGCCACCTTCCTCTTGGGCAGCAACTATGCAAGGCTCTTTCCTCTCCTCTCTGCTTTTGTTTCACTCTTCTCTCTCCTTAAAATGCACTCACCCCCCTCACCCCACCCCTGCCCGCCTCCCCATTCTTAGGTGTTTTAAGTTCCAAAGGCCTGCTGCCCTGACTGCCTCTGCCTGGGGGATCGTTGCTGTCTCTGAACCTCCGAGGCTTTGCCTCTGACATGTTCATTCTTTTCACTCTGAGCAGCACTGATCTGAGTACATGTCTACACCATTTCAGGTGTACGGTTCAGTGGCATTAAGTACATACACGTTGTTCTGCAACCATCACCACTGTCCACCTCCAGAACTTTTTCATCATCTCAAACTGAAATTCTGTACCCATTAAACAATAACTCCCCATCCCCCTCCCTCCTCTCCCCAGTAACCCCTATACTATTTTCTGTCTCTTTTCTAGGTACCTCATATAAGTAGAATCATTCAATAATTTTCCTTTTGTGTCTGGCGTATTTCACTTAGCATAAGGTCTTCAAGGTTCATCGATAGATCATGTATCAGCATTTCTTTTTTTTAACTAAAGTATAGTTGATTAACTAAAGTAAAGTAATGTTTTGTTTCTGGTGTACATCAAAGCAATTCAGTTATTTATATTTTCTTTTTAGAATTCTTTTTTATATATCCTTTTAAGTAATATATATATTTTTCATATTCTTTTTCACCATGGTTTACTACAAGTACTGAATATAGTTCCCTGTGCTATATAGTAAGACCTTGTTTGTCTATTTTTATGTATGTTAGTTTATATCTGCTAATCTCAAACTCCTAATTTATCCTTCCTCCCCCTTTCCCCTCTAGTAATCATAAGTTTGTTTTCTATGTCTGTGAGTCTGTTTCTTTTTTGTAGATAAGTTCATTTGTATCTTTTTTTTTTTTTTTAGATTCCACATATAAACAATATCATATGATATTTGTGTTTCTCTGTCTGGCTTACTTCACTTAGTATAATAACCTCTAGGTCCATCCATTTTGCTGCAAATGGCATTATTTCGTTCTTTTTTATAGCTGAGTAGTATTCTATTGTTTATATATATATATATATAAACTTCTACATATATATAGACAATATATTCTATTGTTATATAAATTTATACACACACATACATACACACACACATCTTCTTTATCCATTTATCTGTTGATGGACATTTAGGTTGCTTCCATGTCTTGACTACTGTAAATAGTGCTACTATGAACATAGGAGTGCATGTAGATCTAATCTCTGGAGACAAGCAGACCATTGGTTGCCTGGTGCTGATGGAAATGGTTGGGAATGGGACAAGGGAATATTCTGGGTGATGAAAATATTCTGTATCTTGATTGTGGTGGTTGTTACATGGGTGTATATATTTTTCAGAAGTCATAAAGCTATACCCTTAAATTAAGTCTTATTGCATGTTATACTAAGCTCATAAAAAGTCACTTAACATCATTAGTCATTAGAGAAATACAAATCAAAACCACAATGAGAAACCACCCCACATCTAAGATAACTATAATTTAAAAAGCAGCAACAACAGAAAATAACAAGATTAGAGAGAATTAACAAGTGTTGGGGAGAATGTGGAGATACTGGAACCCTGTACCTTGCTGGTGAGAATGTAACATGATGCAGCCACTGTGGAAAAGTTTGGTGGTTCCTCAAAACGTTAAAATTACCATATGACCTGGCAATTCTACTCCTAGGTCTATACCTAAAAGAACGGCAAACAGGGATTCAAACAGATACTTGTACTGATACATAAATGTCATAGCAGCATTATTCACAACAGCGAAAAGGTAGAAACAAGCCAAGTGTTTATCAGTAGCTGAATGGATAAACGAAATGTGTTATATACAGTTGACCCTTGAACAACATGGGTTTGAACTGCATGGGTCCACTTATACTTAGATTTTTTTCAATAAATACATACTACTACATGGTCTGTGGTTGTTAAATTCATGGATGTGAAACCAAGGATGCAGAAGGCTGACTGTAAACTTTACACAGATTTTTGGCATGGAGGGTCAGTGCTTCTCACCCCTGTATTGTTCAAAGGTCAACTGTACTTATAATGGAATATCATTCAGCCATAAAAAGTAATGAAGTTACGATACATGCTGTAACATGCATAAGCTTTAAAAACATGCTCAGTGGGGCTTCCCAGGTGGCGCAGTGGTTGAGAGTCCGCCTGCCGATGCAGGGGACACGGGTTCGTGCCCCGGTCTGGGAAGATCCCACATGCCGCGGAGCGGCTGGGCCTGTGAGCCATGGCTGCTGAGCCTGCGCGTCTGGAGCCTGTGCTCCGCAACGGGAGAGGCCACAACAGTGAGAGGCCAGTGTACCGCAAAAAACAAACAAAAAAAAAAACCAAAAAACCAAACATGCTCAATGAAAGAAGTTGGATACAAAAGGACAAATATCTAGGAAAGGAGAATGCTTAGAGACAGAAAGATTAGTGGTTGCAAGGGGCTAGGAGGAGGGAACTGGAGTGATTGCATAATGGGTACAGAGTTTTGTTTGGCGTGATGACAAAGTTTTGGAAATAGTGATGGTTGCAGAACATTGTGAATGTAATTAATGCCCCTGAAATATACACTTAAAATGGTTAAAATGACCGATTATCAAAGAACTAAAAAGAAACAATTTTTAATTTCAGCAAAAGTTGAAAGCAAAAAAAATTAAGATTTTAATTTTGTAAAGGTAATGGTTCTCAGAGATGTAATTTGATACTTTTATCTCTACCTGCCTACCCTACATTTTCACTGTGACGTCTAAGAGATGCCTCCACCTCAGCTATGTCCAAAGCCATGACTTTCTGCTTCCACTCTGTTCCTCCAGATTCCTTCCCCCATAGTTGACCCCTCCTCTGTTTCTCAGGCCCAAACAATGGCATCATTCTTGGCTCCTTCCTTTTTCACAAACTCCAGATGTGAATTGAAGAAAAATAAAGCTGATTCTATCTTTGAAATATATCTAGACCTACTCATATATGAGCACTTGCTTTATTACAGGATTACTACTGGTGAACAGCGAAGTAGATTTTCAGTAAATGGTGCTTCATCAGCTGACAATCTAGATGGAATGAAAGCAAACAAAAATCAATTGCAAGTGAATTGTGGATCTAAATGTGAAAGGCAAGATAAACTGGAAGATGACACAGTAGAATATCTGATCTCAGGGTGTGCAAAAATCTGAGGGCAGGAGACTTTGGTCTGCTGTGTTTATGATGTATCTCCAATGTAGACGCCCAATATTTACAGAATGAAAATAAAAGAAACTTCAACATTCTCTTGAGCGATATACACACATACAAGTACTTGGATCATTGTGAAGACACACAATGTTCTTAAAGGTAAGATTTAATGTCATATAAATGTCACTTCTCATTAGTCTATCATCTAATGAAATCCTAATTAAAAACCCATTCAGGGAATTCCCTGCGGTCCAGTGGTTAGGACTCCGTGCTTCCACTGAGCAATGAGGTGTGATAAGGCCTACCAGGAGGTAAACAATATTTTAAAGCCACAATTATTACCATTTTGTTGAATCTAGGACACTGTGTATTATAAGGTGCATCACTGGTTCGTGTGCCGCTAAGAAAAACACTGCCAACTAGCCTATGACTTCTTAGTTGCCTCCTGATTCAAAGATCTCACAGGTGTGAATGGCATTGACACATGGATTCTCAGACAGATTAACAACAAAAAAAATTAAAATGCCAGAATAGACCCCAAAACCTACGTGATTAGTAGAAGATTAATATTGCAGATAGCTGGGAAAAGAGGGATCTTTCATCGACTGGTATTGAGAAAATTGGGTGGTCATCTAGGAAAAAAGCCTCCTATCTCACACCTGATACACACACACACACACACACACACACACACACACACACACCAGCTGGGCCAAAGATGCGAAACCAAAAAACAGTTGTAGAAGAACTTGAGGGATAATAATTTTTATATTATCAGAATAGGGAATACCTTTCTAAATATGTCATGAATTGAGAAGCCACACAGAAAGACTGATAATCTGACTTCTTAAAAGCAAAACCCAGAGGCAAGGCCGACACTGCCCCACAATCTAAGTGAAAATACAAAAGGTAAGCTGGGAAGTAGCCTGGCTGCTCCTCCCACAGAGGGCTTGACCCACCCCATCTTATTTCCAGGGTCCTCATTCTCCCCAGACCCCCACTCACATGGCTGCTGCCAGTGCCAGTCTATATGGGACCTCAGCCATCTCCTAAAATTCGACGGGTATTTTATACAAACATGGTTGAATGGTGGCCCCAAAAGATGTGTCCCCTAGAATGTACAAAGGGACATTTTCTTTTTTTTTTTCTTTGCGGTACACGGGCCTCTCACTGTTGTGGCCTCTCCCGTTGCGGAGCACAGGCTCCAGATGCGCAGGCTCAGCGGCCATGGCTCACGGGCCCAGCCGCTCCACGGCATGTGGGATCTTCCCTGACTGGGGCACGAACCCGTGTCCCCTACATCGGCAGGCGGACTCTCAACCACTGCGCCACCAGGGAAGCCCAGGGACATTTTCTGAAAAATGGGTCTTTGTGGAATGAGTGAAGGATCTGAGATGAAGTCATCCTGGATGAGGATGGAGGAAAGTGCTTGGAGCCATGACAGTGACAGCACGCATGCTGAGTTGCAGGCCACATGGGATGGTCGGGTGGTCCTGGTCTGGGTGCTCTTCTGGAAGTTTCCATTTACCTACCTGAGCTACCCCTCCGCTCCTGGACCCCACTGCCTGGGGAGAACTTACAACAGCAGGTACAGGTAACACATCCTCTTTAACGGGTGGCAGCCTGGCAACTCCTGCAAAAGGTCCGTCAGAGGCCCATTCAGACTGGGCCATCCACACGGCATGGCCCCTCACTCCCAACCACCAGCCCAGCCCCGCAGCCGCTGACAGGGCAGGGAGCGTGGCCTGAGGAGCAACTGCAAGCGCTCTTGCTGCCTGGGAGGGTGTTTCCAGACCTTGATCCAGGCACACCTGGGAAGGGCTGGCTGGCTGAGTCAGGCTGCCCAGATCAGCCAATCCTTGCCCATCAGGGGCTCACAGTTGCAGAAAATGGGCCTTGCTGCACCAGCCAGGTCCAAGGAACAGGTGTGAGGTCCTGAGGGTCAGGATGGACATGGGGCTGTGACTTCGGCTTGTTTTCTAATCCTTTTAACTGACCCATGAGTGGGAGGCAACTGCAAGAAGACCCTCTCCTCACAAGAGGGATCTAGGTGTCAGGGAGAGGAGGGCTGGTGGGCGGAGACAGAGGCCTGGTGCCTGGGTGCAGTGGAAGCCTCTGGAAGAGCCAGTGGAAGGAGGCTGCACAGAGTGAAGCCCAGGGTCGCAGACATGTCCAGGAGCTGCTGTGTGTTAGTTCAGGCCCTTCTCTGAGCTGCTCAGGGTCAGCTCTGACGGACAGGTGGGGCTGGGGTGCTTTGCTTTGAGGGCTATGGGCGCAGTTCCTGTGTGCCCAGCCCTGCGGGGGTGCCTGCCCAGGTGGGCCCTGTGGGCTGCTGGGTGCCTGCCCAGGTGAGCTCCATATCCTGGGAGGTGCCTGCACAGGTGGGCCCTGTGCCCTGGGAGGGGGCTGCCCAGGTGAATCCCATGCTCTTGAATGTGCCTGCCCACGTGAGCCCCGCAGGCTGCTGGGTACTTGCCCAGGTGAGCTCCATATCCTGGGAGGTGCCTGCCGGAGAGAGCCTCCTGTGCCCTGGGAGGGGCGTGTGAGCTAGCGTCCTCTCTTTGCAGCCGGCACGGAGTTGCTTAGCGACTCCCCCGTGGACACCATGGACACTGCTGGGATGAGATGAGAGCCAGGAGAGGCTGCTGGTGTCTGAACCTCTGCCCGGGCCCGTCTAGAGCAACGAGGTCAGTAGGTGGGTGCTGGCTGCTGTGCTGCGTGAGGGAGGCCCCACGGGTACCTCTTGTTTCTTCCACCTGACACCACGGAGGCACCCCCCCGCCTGGGACAGAGGGTACAGCCTGCCCCAGGCAGGTGGGAATTCCTGGTGACCCTGTCGGGGACACCAGAGGGACGGAACAGGCAGGAGGGGAGTGGGCGCCCACGCAGAGCCATGGGGCTCGGGGCCCAGGGGGCCTTTCTGGGTCTGCGTTGGGAGTGGACGAGCAGTGGTGAGTGTGACCCAAGAAAGCTGCCCTGGTGACATGAGACTGACCCCGCTCAGGGAGACAAGCCTCCCAGGTGACTCCCAAAACAGGATTGGAAGACAAATCCTGTTAAAAGAAAGTTTTGTAACATGAATCCTGCTGAAGGAGAGGTTTTGCAAAGCTGATCCCCTAAGAGGAGGCTCCGTGAGCTCTTCCCCTCAGGGGGGGACGTGGAGCCTGCCGGGAACAGGCAGTCCCCCTGGGCGGGCGGCGGGTGCAGAGCCCACTCTGTGGCCCCATGTCTGTGCTTCTGGGCGGGTAACTTGGCTTCTCGGAGCCTCAGCTTCTCAGTCTGTTCAAAAGGTGATGGCAGCATGGATTGACTAGTAAGTTGCCCAGAACAGAGTAGAAAGGGGTCTTGTGGAAATTGCACAGAACATCGTCTTTAGGGGAATCGCAGGTCCCGTTTCCCACAGGTCTGTCTTCAGGATCAGGAGAGCGGATCTAAGCAGATTTGCAGTAGAGCCTGGGGACGGGCCCGGTTTGGTGGGTCCTCCTGTCTCCTGAATCATGGACGGGGAAGCTTCAGCGGGCAGTGGCAGGTTCATCCCACCTCTGGAAGTGTCTGGACTCCAAGGCCCAGCAGCCCCTGAGCCCTGCGTCTGGGACCCTCGGAGGCAGGTGGGACAGGCTGGCCTCCTTCCTTCCCAGGACATGTGAGGTGCAGGCTGTCGTCAGGGAGAAGCAGGGATGGAGGGGTATCCTGTGTGGGAAGAGGACATGGGGCAGCTTGTGTACGTGGATGTCCACACCAGGAATGTGGGTCAGTGCAGGGGGACTCGGACACCAGGAGGTGCAGCTGGTGGGCCTGAGTAAGCAGGGCTGGGGGTCCCGTGGAGGCGGTGGGTCGAGCTTCACCCGTGCTGGGCCTTGGACTCCCCGGCCTTCCTTGTCCTGGTCACTGGGGAGGAGGGGCTGAGCGGTGCTGGTGGAGTGACCACCAGGCCTTGCCAGTGTTGGCGCCTCCGGCTGTTGTCAGGGAGCCTGTGGGGTGTGGGTTCTGCCGTGCCCGCCAGGGAGGAGGTCTGGAGGGCTCCGGCAGGAGGCACTGGTGTGGCCAGCACCCGTGCAGAAGCTTCCAAGCCAGTGTCCAGAGAGAACCCCTGCCTGTGGATTTCAAGTCCACATACACAGATCAGCTTCTAGTGGGCTCGGATTATTTTCTAGACACAAAGTCCTAACACCCTGTGTGTCCACGGCACATGGAAAGGCACATCTGATGTGGTTCCAGGTGCTGCCTCTGGACCCCCTCCTGCCTGGACGCCGTGCAGCCAGTGTCACCATGTCGTGACTGTGTGTCAGGCGGGGGGCAGGGGGGAGAGCAAATGGTCCAGGCCCACGAGGGGCCGTGCCATCCACGGAGCCAGTGCTGTGGCTGTAGGTGTGCCCTCCGCTCACCCCACTGGCAGAGGCTACTATCCCCTTACAGATGGGGAGGCAGTCGGTGTGGCACCTGAGGTCGGGGCCTGTGGCTGGCAGGCGGTGGCGGTCAGCAGGGGGTACGCACGAGGTCAGGGAAGGCTCTCAGTGTGTTTACAGAGAAGATGCGAACGTGGGTGCAGGTGCAGAGCTGCCTGCAGATACTGCTGTGAACGCCCCTGAATTCTTTCCTGAGAATATTGGCGGAGGGGCATTCAGACAACAGGGCAAACAGCTTGTTCTGGTGGCTGTTGTTGGGGAAGCGGGGCATAGACAGGGGCTCAGCCCGCAAAACCCTAGAACCGCCCCCAGAATGGCAGGAAGTGGTTCTTCCACCTACTAGACGTGGAGGGAAGGAGTGAGGTCTGCGGGGCCACCTTCACTTTCGGGGACTTGCTGGGAGGCTCGTATGCTCAAGGCTAAGATGGGTCACAGCACACAGTAGGGGTGCATGGCGGGATCCCTGTGCTGGCTTCCTCATGCCCCCTCCTTCACTCGAGGGTCTTGAGAGTATCTCTTCCCCCAGTGAGGAAGGGTAAAACCATGACATTTTCCCCCAGGGAAGCTCATTAGGGACTTGGCCCCCAGCTGGGGCTGGTCACCTGGCATCGTCTGCCCTCAGCCTCCAAAATGCCAGTGCCCAGAAGGGGAGCCAGTGTTCAGCATGAAACACATGGTTTGTGCAAACGGCGTAGGTGCAGGGGCCGCCCCTAACGGGAGGGAGGTTTAGATAAAAGCAGGGAGCCGTTCCCCAGCTGTGGTAGCTTCCTGGGGCGGCCATGACAAATGACCACAAATGGAGCCTCAGAACAGCAAAAACCGATCCTCTCTGTTCTGGAGACCAGAAGTCTGAGATCAAGGCGGCTCAGGGCTGAGCTCCCTCCCGAGGCCCCAGGGGAGGAGGCTTCCTGGCTTTTCCAGCCTTTGGAGGTTCCAGGCGTCCCTGGGCTCGTGGCCACATCCGTCTCCATCTTCACGAGGCTTGTCCTGTGTCTGTCCTCTTCTGTCTCTTCTAAGGACACCTGTCACTGGATTCAGGGCCACGCTCATCCGGGATAAACTCATCTCCAGATCCGTAAATAGCGTCTTTAGATCCTATTTCCAAACAAGGTCCCATTCCCAGGTTCTGGGGGGCCAGGATGTGGACATAACTTTTGGAGGGGGCCCATTCAACCCATACCGCAGCCCAATTCCCAGACGCTGACCAAGGGCCATCCATGCCTACTGACCTTCCTCAGGACAGCAGTCAGGTTAGCGATGTTCTGTCTTTCTGCACAGAGGCATCTTTTGTTTCATGCACTTGATGGGGGGAAATGCTGCTGGCTGACCTCCCAGTCTTTCCAGGGACCATGCCGAGCTATCCTCCCTGGGAGTGTGGGAGCACGGCCAGGGCACCCTGTATATGCTCTGTGCTTACCGCTCAGTGGTCATACACCTGCTTGGGGCTGGGCACCCTCAATAGGCTAGACTGGCCCCTGGACCACTGCACTTTCTACCACATCAATAGGTGCACTATGTGCGGGCCTACGACCATGATGTGTGGACAGGCACTCATGCCTGCCGCATGGCCTCCAGCCCACCATGGACCCTCCAGTCCTGCTGTGGACACCACCATCCAGTCATGGACTCCCGCTCCTGCTGTGGACACCCCCATCCCATTAACCCCCAAGAGACCTGCTGAATAGGGGTGAGAACTCCACTGAGAAGAAGAGACCAGGGATGTGCATGTGCCTTTGAGGAAATCATTGCTCAGAAGACCCCAGCATCTATCAGCAGTCTTCTCTTGACCTTTGCTCTTCCTCTTTTCATCTGATATCTTGCCAGATCGTTCATGGAGAAATTAGGTCCTATCTGGCAACAGCAGAATCGTCTTCCCAACACATGAGAAAAGAACAGGCATGGGCCCGCACCCATCTTATCCTTCCCTGCCTGCCCGGCCCCATCAGGTCAGGAAGATGTGTCCCTCCTCCTGTCAGAAGCCAAATCCCAGATAAAGGACTTAGATGTAAAGGAAACCAGAATATTGTTTTGAGCTATGGACGCTTAAAAAAAAAACCAACAACAGCAAAAACAAATGATCAAATTTCCCAAAATATGGATGTTACAGAAAAACCCGAACGAACTTTTGGGCCAACCCAATAGGTGCAAAGAAGGGCGCGAGGACCTTTCTGCTCTTTCTTCCCCGAAGCAGGAGAGAACATATCCTCCCCCACAACCCCCACTCCTGCCGCCATGGAAGACGTCCTCCCTCTGCTGGAAGGAGAGTGACATTGTTACCGTCAAGGGAAGAAAGTGGAGAATGAGAGAATTCTGTACAAATGGAGTTTGTTAAACATAATTCTCATACTCCTTCACTTCCCCACACAGTGTACTTCCTTTTCCACAATCGCCTCTCTTTGTTCAACGCAATAGAAAAGCATTTAGGTTTTGCCACTTCTCTGGGTCTTTCTTCATTTCTGTAGTGGAGCACCCTGTGTCTTGTAAATCTTATGGGAAATAAATGTGTATGCTTCTCTCCTGTGAATCTGTCTCCATTTAATTCTCAGGACCAGCTGTCAGCTCTAAGAGGGTGGAGGTATTGTTTTGTCTCGGTGACATTTTTCTTGTCAGCATCTTTGAATTCTACCTCCTTCCTTGGCTTGATTCTTCAGTGTGCTGACATGCTCTCAGCTACCATCTTCAGAAACTGTGAGAATGAAACACATTCTTTTTTTTTATTTTATTTTTTAAATGTATTATTTATTTTTGGCTGTGTTGAGTCTTCGCTGCTGCGCGCGGGCTTTTCTCTAGTTGCGGCGAGCGGGGGCTACTCTTCGCTGCGGTGCGCGGGCCTCTCACTGCGGTGGCTTCTCGTTGCGGAGCACGGGCTGTAGGCGTGTGGGCCTCAGTAGTTGTGGCACACGGGCTCAGCAGCTGTGGCTCACAGGCTCTAGAGCGCAGGCTCTGTAGTTGTGGCGCACGGGCTTAGTTGCTCTGCAGCATGTGGAATCTTCCCGGACCAGCGCTCGAACCCATGTCCCCTGCGTTGGCAGGCAGATTCGCAACCACTGCGCCACCAGGGAAGCCCATGAAACACATTCTTACCCTATGATCCAGCCCTCAGAATTTTTGGTATCAGTGGACCCAAATGAGTCGATTGCTTACATCTACTCAGAAACCTGCACCAGGATGTTTAGGGCAGCTTTATTCAGAACTGCCAGAACTTGGAAGCAACCAAGATGTCCTTTAGGAGGTGAATGGACACATAGACTGGGCTACGTCCATGCAACAGAATGTTCTTCAGCACTGAAAAGACAAGAGAGAGATATGGAGCCATGGAGAGACAGATGGGGCACCTGAAATGCATATTACTCACTGAAAGAAGCCAATCTGGAAAGCTGGCATACCTTAGGGTACCAACTACATATGATATTTGGGAAAAGGCAAACCATGGAAAGGGTGAGAAGACCATTGCAGCGCCAGGGGTTTGTGGCGGGGTTGAGGGGTGAGGGCTGATAAATAGGTCGAGCACAGAGGCTTTTTAAGGCGGTGAAGCTATTCAGTGCGATACATTCATTCATGGTGAAATACATTTGTCAAAACCCATAGAATGTACCACACCAGGAGTGAATCCTAATATAAACTCTGGACCCCGGTGAAGGTGTCCATGGAGATTCATTGATAGTGACTGCCACACACAATGTCGTCGGATAGTCAGGGAGCGGGGGGCTCTGAGCACCTGTGGGGATGGGGACAGGGGGAGCAGCAACAGCAGAGCAGGGCATATGTGGGACCTCTCTGTACTCTGCCCAATTCTGCCGTGAACTCAAAACTTCTTTAAAAAAATAAAGTCTATTTAAACAAAGGAACAAACATTCGAGTAGTATCACATGGCTGCTCGTCTTCAGTCCTCAATTTTTTTTTTTTTTCTGTACGCGGGCCTCTCACTGTTGTGGCCTCTCCCGTTGTGGAGCACAGGCTCCAGACACGCAGGCTCAGCGGCCATGGCTCACGGGCCCAGCCGCTCCGCGGCATGTGGGATCTTCCCGGACCAGGGCACGAACCCGCGTCCCCTGCATCGGCAGGTGGACTCTTAACCACTGAGCCACCAGGGAAACCTAGTCCTCAATTTGTCTGGGCCACTTGAGAGTGGAACTTCAGCGGACATTGTCCTTTCAACCCGCATCATTTCAGAGTTTCATCTGACATCTGCTTTTTATCTCACTACAATCTTTTTTAAGATAATATGTCTTCTTTTTTTTTGAAATTGACGTATAATTGATGGGCAATATTATATTAGTTTTCTGGTATAACACATAGTGATTTGATAGTTTTATACATCACAAAATGATCACCAAGATAAGTCCAGTTACATGTCACCATACAATGTTGTTACAGTATCATGGACTCTATTCCCTATGCTGTATGTTACATCCCCATGACATTTGTTTTATAACTGGAAGTTGGTACCCCTTAATCTTTCTCACATACTGCGCTCATGCCCCCAGCCACCTCCCCTCTGGCAACCACCAGCATGGTCTTGGGATCTGTGAGTCCATTTCTGTTTTGTTGTGCTTGTTCTTTTGTTTTGTATTCTACATAGAAGTGACATCATAAGTTATCTCTCTCTGTATGACATATCTCAGCATAATACCCTTTAGGTCCATTCATGTTGTCATAAGATTTCATTCTCTTTTATTGGCTGAGTCATATTCCACTGGGTGTGTGTAAATATGTACATGAAATCTTTCTTATCCATTTGCCAATTGATGGATACTTTGGTGGCTTCCATATCTTGGCTATTGTCAGTACAGCTGCCATGAACATAGGGGTGTGTATATCTTTTTGAATTTGTGTTTTTTTTTCCTTCAGAAAGATACCCCCAAGTGTAATTCCTGCATCATATGATAGTTCTATTTTTAATTTCTTGAGGAGCCGCCATAATGTTTTCCGTAGTGGCTGTACTAATGCACATTCCCAACAGAAGTGTCTGAGGGTTCCCTTTTCTCCACATCCTCGCCAACTTTTTTTTTTTAAATTAATTAATTAATTTATGGCTGTGTTGGGTCTTCGTTTCCGTGTGAGGGCTTTCTCTAGTTGCGGCAAGTGGGGGCCACTCTTCATCGCGGTGCGTGGGCCTCACACTATCGCGGCCTCTCTTGTTGCAGAGCACAGGCTCCAGACGCGCAGGCTCAGTAATTGTGGCTCACGGGCCTAGTTGCTCCGCAGCATGTGGGATCTTCCCAGACCAGGGCTCGAACCCGTGTCCCCTGCATTGGCAGGCAGATTCTCAACCACTGCGCCACCAGGGAAGCCCCCTCACCAACTTCTTATTGGTTGCCTTTTGGATGATAACCATTTTTTTCAGGTGTGAGGTGGTAATTTCATTGTTGTTTTGGTATGCATTTCCCTGATGATAAGTGATGTTGACTATGTAGTCATGTATGTGTTGGCCATCTGTATATATTCTTTGGGAAAATGTTCGATCTTCTGCCAATTCTTTACTTGGGTTTTAGTCTTTTAGAGGTTGCATTGCATGAATTCTTCGTCCGTTTTGGATATAAACCCCTTTTCCGATGTATTGTTTGCAAATATTTTCTCACGTTCAGTAGGCTGCCTTTTCATTTTGTGGATGATTTCTTTGCTGTTGAAAAGCTTTTCTTTTAGGTGGAATCCCATTCGTTTATTTTGCTTTTGTTTCCCTTGCTTGAGGAGACAGATCCAAAAAATATTGCTCAGACTGATGTCAAAGAACATACTGCCTATGTTTTCTTCTAGGAGTTTTATAGCTTCATGTCTTACGTTGAAGTATTTGATTCATTTTGAGGTTATTTTTGTAGATGGTATGAGAAAGTGTTCCAAACTGATTCCTGTGCATGTTGCAGTCCAGTTTTCCCAACAAGATTTATTGAAGAGGTTATCTTTTCCCCATTGTATATCTCACCTCCTTTTTCATAGATGAGTTCACCATACATAATGGGTTTGTTTCTGGGCTCTCAGTTCTGTTCCATGGATCTGTGTGTATTTCTTTTGTGCCAATACCATACTGTCTTGATGTTTCCAGGTTTGTAGTATAGTTCGAAATCAGGGAACATGATATGTCCACGTTTGTGCTTCTTTCTTAAGATTGTATTGACTATTCAGGTTCTTTTGTGTTTCCACACACATTTTAGAATTCTTTTTTCTAGTTCTCCAAATAATCCCATTGGCATTTTGATAGGAATGGCATTGAATCTCTAGATTGCTTTGGGGTGTGGAATCATTTTAACAATACGAATTCTTCCAATCCATGAGCATGGCATGTCTCTCCATTTGTTTGTGTCCTCTTTAATTTCTTTCAACAGAGTTCCAGTTCTCCGAGTACAGGTCTTTTACCTCCTGGCTTAGAGGTATCCCTAGGTATTTTATTTTTGTTAATGTCACTGTCGATGGAGTTGTTTTCTTAATTTATCATTCTGATAGTTGTGAGTGTATAGAAATGCAACTGATTTCTTTAGATTAATTTTGTATCTTGCAACTTAACTGAATTTTCTGATGAGTTCCATTTGTTTTGGGGTGTCATCCTCAGGATTTTCTCTCTAGAGTGTCATGTCATCTACAGACAGTGACAGTTTTAAACTTTTTCCTCTGCCATTGAATTCATTTTACTTTTTTTTTTAAACAAACATTTTATTTTGTTTGTCTTTATTTTTTTTTGGCTGTGTCGGGTCTTAGTTGCAGCATGTGGGATCTTCCTTGAGGCAGGATCTTTCATTGCGGCACGTGGGCTTCTCTCTAGTTGTGGTGTGTGGGTTTTCTCTCTCTAGTTGTGGCACACAGGCTCCAGAGCGCATGGGCTCTGTAGTTTGCGGCACGTGGACTCTCTTGTTGAGGCGTGCGAGCTCAGTAGTTGTGGAGCATGGGCTTAGTTGACCCGTGGCATGTGGGATCTTAGCTCCCTGACCAGGGATCGAACCCGCGTCCCCTGCATTGGAAGGTGGATTCTTTACCACGGGACCACCAGGGAAGTCCCCCCCCCCACCTTTTTTTAAATTGAAGTATAGTTGATTTACAATGTTGTGTTAGTTTCTGGTGTACAAGGAAGTGATGCAGCTTTATATATATTATTTTTCATATTCTTTTCCTTTATGGCTTATTACAGAATATTGAATACAGTTCCCTGTGCTATACAATAGGACCTGCTGTTTATCCATTCCATATATAAGTGTTTGCATCTGCTAGTTCCAAACTCCAAGTCCAACCCTCCCCTGCACCCCTTTGTTCTCTATATCTGTGAGTCTGTTTCTGTTTTGTAGATAAGTTCATTTGTGTCATATTTTAGATTCCACATATAAGTGATATCATATGGTATTTGTCTTACTCTGCCTTCACTTATGATAATCTCTAGGTCCATTCATGTAGCTGCAAATGGCATTATTTTATTCTTTTTTTAAAAAAAAAATTTATTTATTTATTTATGGCTGTGTTGGGTCTTTGTTTCTGTGCGAGGGCTTTCTCTAGTTGTGGCAAGTGGGAGCCACTCTTCATCGCGGTGTGCGGGCCTCTCACTATCGCGGCCTCTCTTGTTGCGGAGCACAGGCTCCAGACGCGCAGGCTCAGTAGTTGTGGCTCACGGGCCTAGTTGCTCCGCGGCATGTGGGATCCTCGCAGATCAGGGCCCGAACCCGTGTCCCCTGCATTGGCAGGCAGATTCTCAACCACTGCACCACCAGGGAAGCCCTATTTCATTCTTTTTTATGGCTGAGTAACATTCCATTTTGTGTGTGTGTGTGTGTGTGTGTGTATCACATCTTCTTTATTCA